CAACGTCAAAGACCTGGGAGTGATCATGCTGGAGGATCTCACCTTCAAGGACCATAACATTGTATCAATCGCAGCTGCTAGAAAAATGACAGGATGGATAATGAGAACCTTCAAAACTAGGGATGCCAAGCCCATGATGACACTCTTCAGGTCACTTGTTCTATCTAGGCTGGAATATTGCTGCACACTAACAGCACCTTTCAAGGCAGGTGAAATTGCTGACCTAGAAAATGTACAGAGAACCTTCACGGCGCGCATATCGGAGATAAAACACCTCAATTACTGGGAGCGCTTGAGGTTCCTGAACCTGTATTCCCTGGAACGCAGGCGGGAGAGATACATGATTATATACACCTGGAAAATCCTAGAGGGACTAGTGCCGAACTTGCACACGAAAATCACTCACTACGAAAGCAAAAGACTTGGCAGACGATGCAACATCCCCCCAATGAAAAGCAGGGGTGTCACTAGCACGTTAAGAGACCATACAATAAGTGTCAGGGGCCCGAGACTGTTCAACTGCCTCCCAGCATACATAAGGGGGATTACCAATAGACCCCTGGCAGTCTTCAAGCTGGCACTGGACAAGCACCTAAAGTCGGTACCTGACCAGCCGGGCTGTGGCTCGTACGTTGGTTTGCGTGCAGCCAGCAGTAACAGCCTGGTTGATCAGGCTCTGATCCACCAGGAGGCCTGGTCACAGAGCGGGCCGCGGGGGCGTTGACCCCCGGAACTCTCTCCAGGTAAACAAGGAAGATCACGTAAGCAACAAGGATACGTGTGAGTGGTAGCCGCATGTTATTTACTCTTGAAGCTTATCGACTGCACGAGGGTCATTAAGACTGCACATCACTTGTACATCACCAGGCAAGACTATTTTAATCCCTTTTCACATTATTTTAATCCCTGCATACACTTCTGGTTATATATACACTAAGAGATAAACACCTCACAGTGTAAATATACTGACCTTATATTGTGAAGAATGACAGGGGGAACTTTATGTAATTTCAAGGCTTCTTCCACAGGACCAGATCTAAAGAATATACTAGCAGTCAGATCTATTTTAAGAACACACTAACAATCAGATCTGTCTTAAGAACACACTAACACTCAGATCTATTTTAAGAACACACTAGCAATCAGATCTATCTTAAGCACATACTAACAATCAGATCTATCTTAAGCACATGCTAACAATCAGATCTATCTGAAGCACATATTAACAATCAGATCTACATTTAGAACACACTAACGCTAACGCAAACACAGTTTACTAAATGACAAAAACAATCACATTAACAACACTATGACTACTCTGGTGGTTCTAAAGACCAGCCAGATATGTCATCAAACACCCATGCCAAAAAATGGAACAGCACCCAGAATTACCCACCATACAGTGAACACAAAATTCTACGGTACTTTCAACTCCCATACCCAAACAAACTCCAGACTCCACTAAATGATCGTCACACACTGTACATACACGGAGGGGCGACGAGACCCAAAATACTAACAGAATATTACTGCTCTCATCCTCCCTAAGATATCATCTCTACACTGTCCTCCCACACAGACCTGCACTCCCGCCGGCACGTACAAAATGAATCGATAGTATGAAATGAGAATCTCGCTGTAACATATTGCATAAGTACACAGATTGAAATATTGCTGGAGTGACAAAAAAAAATAAAACTGGCTCGCTAACTCCGCCAACCAGGCTGTGATGGATATGTGGGACAGTGGGCTGCTAACAGCAACAGACTGCTTGAACAGAAGGAAAGTTTTGCTGCAGGCCGGCCTGCGAGAGCAGAGAAAACTCGAAATTAATCACAGGTATAACCGAACTGGTGTCTTGTAATTGCGGGTTCCCAATTACATGCCTCAGCCAGAAAGTGTACACAAGTGGGCAGGCAAAGCGGTTGTTCCACTATTAGTTAAAAATAGTAAAGGAATGTGTAGATACCAGAACCATGAAGTACACGGGTGGGTGCAGGTGGAAAGAGGAGTGATTGGCGGAATGATGAGGTAAAGAGGGTGGTAAGGGAGAAGACTTTTGCAATCTAAAAATGATCGATTTCCCAGTCCTAAACAAGTTCCTCAAAATCTCACCATTTCACTAAGAGTCAATGACATCATCAGTCAGCTGGTAATTGATTTATCGAGAAACAGAGAGAACGCCACGCAAGGTTTGAGAAACAACACATTGTGAGGAATTCCTCATTCAGTATATATTAAATGCCTCTCTCTTTAAGCATTAAGTCGATATATATTATATATATATATATATATATATATATATATATATATATATATAATATATATATATATTATATATATATATATATATATATATATATATATATATATATATATATAATGCCATTTTGTACAACATACTGTATATTGTATGTCTTTTTGACGTACAATACACATATAATGTTCAAATATTGCATATACAAATATACAAATATTACATTATTATTATTATTATTATAATCAAGGGAGAAGCGCTAAATCCATAAGATTATACAGCTACAAATATTACATATATTATACAAAGTGGCATTCCTCGCAACGTGTGTTAGGTGCTCATAAATCCAACAATATGTTAGCAACTCACGCCACTCGCCACATAGTGTAGCTGCCTCCCTTAGAGGTACCTCTTCCCCTTGTGCACCTAGCAGTAAGTAGGTACCGGGGTGTTAACTCACTATCGTGGGTTGCATCCTGGGTTACGGGATGTTACCCCAAATGGAAATAAGCCACACTCATTAGCTATCTTGGGTTATGCTGGATTAACCCTCTGGGTTGACAACACTGGTTTACAACCCAAATGATTCGGAAATAAAACTAGAAATTCTTTACTAGTTTTGGATCACTGAACACGTAAGTGATGCTTAAAATTGCAAATAATTGTTTTTTTGTTTTTTGATAAAGATATGGACCGAGGGTGGCTGATATTATTATCCTTGACCTGGGAAGGTCCCTTACCTCGGTTGGTAACACACGGCTCACACACACGTGGTTCGATCCCCGGTACGAGTGGAAACATTGGACATGCTTTCTTTCACCCGTTGTCCCTGTTCAACTAGCAGCAAGTAGGTACCTGGGTGTAAGACGACTGGTGTGGGTGGTAGCATACCTCAGCTAGAGCAGGGCTTTGAAATGACCTGAGGTAGGATAACAGCTCTTAGCCTATAAAATTGATCTATGTAAGGGAAGAGGGCAAATAAACCGTGCGGGGAGAAGCCTCTTCGATTCAAACCCACAGTGCATAAATATTTAAATATAAACAGTTTCCTATAGCCACAAAGCATTATTGTTTAAAAAATGAAGAATATACACTTTACTTTAGCCATTCGGTTATGATCCTGCTAGTTTTCATCACCCCAAAATGCCATGTCGAAATTTTTTCCCCCCAGAAGCACAAAACTGTTCAAAATTTCAAGACCACTGTTATCCGAATAAAGAATAAATTTCTTTTTCTTTCAAATTTATCATTTTTCTTCAAGTGGCTCACACCTTTTTATATTACTGTGCACCAAGCCAGTTCACAGTTGTGACCACATCCTGGTGACACGGTGTGACTCCGGGTCAGTTCACTTCTTTCACCCTCCTCACCATGGGTATATAAAAGGTATACAAGTACTAAAAAAGAGTAACGACACTTTGAGAAGTGGATACCATTATCAGCGACGACGTTTCTTCCACACCGGGCGAACGTCGTTGTTAATAGTAGAGAACTTAGACACCATTTTCCTACCTTTGGCGGGTTTCGAGAGTTTTCCCTACTTCCTGCATAATATAACCTCCCAGCAGTGAAACATTTTGTATTCATACCCTTCAGATCAACATCAACATTACAACACACTGCATGCACATCAACATTGCAACATACTACATAAACACAAACATTCATTATAACAATACATACACATCAACATTAAGACTGCACTTTTCGAGGAGAAAAATAATTAAAATTAAATGATTCATGTTAAACGCTAAACCCATTCGGGTCATTCAGCGGAAGACATGGTGGAGGCTCGATCCTCCTCTATTTCTTCAGATGAGTGTCAGACAGACGTGGTGAAGGCTTGATCCCGGCAGCTCATGCTGTGAGCGTAAGTCTGAGCATTAGTTTATTGAGAATCCCATAGCTCATCCTGTAAACGTTAGTTTATTGTGCACCGGGCAGCTCATTTTTTGACCGGTAATTTATGTACCCGGCAGTTTCTTCGAGTAGTAACGCAAAAGATGCGAGATAACAGGTTTTAATGGGCATTTGTCAGTTCCCACTCGGTACAGATATCAGTCATTTCATATAAAGTATTTCATTTTATTTACATAGCTAATCTGCGCAGTGCACTATGTAGATACAAGTCAAGAAAATTGAAGTATCTCGCCAGTCAGCTAGGCGATTCCTTACGTCACACAGTCCCGGCAAGATGCACGTGAGAAAACTCTTGGAAACCAGACATCATATTCAGTCTAAGTACCAACTCTCCAACTTTAAGAGAGAGGCCTTCAGCCTGGGACTCAAGTTCTCCGCAGGAAGTCGGAAATCCCCACACATTGATTTCATCACATTAGATCACACGGATGTATTCAGGGATTCGTAACAGTCACACTGTAACAAACCAACACCTTTGCACTACACAAACGGCACATCGATGCCTTATATAGCCTGGCCAAAAATAGAAACATAACGAGTACAACAGGAAAGTCGAGCACCCTCCGGGAGAATATATCTTATTTAGCTTGAGATGCAGATACCTACGAGACCACCAGAACACACCAAAACCTAAACAATAAAACCTCGATTACCGGATCCAGACAAATTCTTCCAGAAGCATTACAGGGTAATACAGACCTGCTCAAATTGTTTAGAATAGGTAGAGTGAGGTTAGATGAAGATAGGTTAAGTTAGTAGTATAAATATTGATTACAATTTTACATGCAGATATATAATAGTTGTCCTTTTCACTTATTCTCAGAAAGAACAAAGATGCCGTGCAAGTTGACATACTTCAGACCGCAGGTAAGATTGTTTCCCTTACTGAATTAAAATAGGTATACTAGCCTAAGTAATACTGTGAATTGAAATAGATGTTATGATAAATAATATGACTTGTAATGGATGTTAGTTTAAATAATAATGTAAATTTCAATAAATGTTAGCATAAATAATAATGAATTCAAATACATACTAGGATGAATAATTTGAATTAAAATGAATGTTACTGTTCATTACCATTGCAGTATCATCAGGGGTTAGCATTATTTTTTGTTGCTATAACAATGTGGAAAGTTAACATAAGCTGTACGTTATACGACTGCCGACACTTGTGACAGCACACTACTTGCTGGGGGGGGGGGGGAAGTAGGCATTTATTTCGAGTCGACATTTCGCTCATATAGGGAAATTTGTCGAGTCAGTGTTTGGGGGAAATGTGTGTCTAGTCATGACTCCAGATACTTATTTTTGTTACTTAAAACTACTACAAGTGATTTCTTCTTCCACTTTCCCTTCACACAGCACTGTTTACACAAGTTATTACCTGTGTTATCACCTACAACACTTTTAGCTTGATTACCTTAAATTTCGGTCATTTGACCCTTATGGATTTAGCGTTTCCCCATAATAAAATTAGCAATGTGTATATCTTCAGAAACATTGTACAAATTTATACTACGTTTAAAAAAAATTGCAGAATACTTGAAAGACACTCGAGTAGAGAACGTTTTTCAGTGAGTATTCAGGTACAGGTACACATAAATAGTTACATGAATAAATCATACATAGCAGCATATGTGTAGATTACCTAGGATAACCCCCCAAAAAAGTCAGAGTGACTTATTTCCATTGGGGTCCTTGTAATATCTTATTGTTTAAACCTTAAGAGTTAAAACAGCTAAGTAACTCGACTATGTGAAAATCATTTACAATAAAAGGGGATATACTAGGAAAAATGTAAACTGAGTTATTTACATAGCATTAAAGAGGATCAAGTGACAGTAATAGGTACATGAATGTTACAGTAATAGGTACATGTATGTTACAGTAATAGGTATATGTACGTTACAGTAATAGGTACATGAATGTTACAGTAATAGGTACATGTACGTTACAGTAATAGGTACATGAATGTTACAGTAATAGGTACATGTATGTTACATTAATAGGTACATGTATGTTACAGTAATAGGTACATGTATGTTACAGTAATAGGTACATGTATGTTACAGTAATAGGTACATGTACGTTACAGTAATAGGTACATGTATGTTACAGTAATAGGTGCATGAATGTTACAGTAATAGGTACATGTATGTTACAGTAATAGGTACATGTATGTTACAGTAATAGGTACATGTACGTTACAGTAATAGGTACATGTATGTTACAGTAATAGGTACATGAATGTTACAGTAATAGGTACATGAATGTTACAGTAATATGTACATGAATGTTACAGTAATAGGTACATGAATGTTACAGCAATAGATACATGAATGTTACAGTAATAGGTACATGAATGTTACAGTAATAGGTACATGAATGTTACAGTAATAGGTACATGAATGTTTACAGTAATAGGTACATGAATGTTACAGCAATAGATACATGAATGTTACAGTAATAGGTACATGAATGTTACAGTAATAGGTACATGAATGTTACAGTAATAGGTACATGAATGTTACAGTAATAGGTACATGAATGTTACAGTAATAGGTGCATGTGTGTTACAGTAATAGGTACATGAATGTTACAGTAATAGGTACATGAATGTTACAGTAATAGGTACATGTATGTTACAGTAATAGGAACATGAATGTTACGGTAATAGGTACATGTATATTACAGTAATAGGTACATGTATATTACAGTAATAGGTACATGAATGTTACAGTAATAGGTGCATGAATGTTACAGTAATAGGTACATGAATGTTACAGTAATAGGTACATGTATGTTACAGTAATAGGAACATGAATGTTACAGTAATAGGTACATGAATGTTACAGTAATAGGAACATGAATGTTACAGTAATAGGTACATGTATGTTACAGTAATAGGTACATGTGTGTTACAGTAATAGGTACATGAATGTTACAGTAATAGGTACATGAATGTTACAGTAATAGTTACATGAATGTTACGGTAATAGGTACATGTATGTTAGCTATACAAGAAATCACTCTCCTCCCTTTCTGTAGCTAGATTCATTAGGTACTTTTTTACTCTTTCCGAACTGGCTCATGCTATGACAGGCTTTGACATGTACAGGCAGTCCGTTCCACTACTGTGTGTACTACAAAGTTGTGTTCCCTTCTAGCACTATACTTGCTTTGGTTCCCAGCCTTGAATAACTTGGCAACAAGATATTCTGGACACTGCTTGTGAGCAGTTTTAAAAACGCGATTTAACTTCATTTGTTTTACTCTATCTTCAACATTCAGCATATCCAGGTGTTGCAATTCACCCTTGTCTGCAAGCTCTCTTGGACACAGGTCCAGGATCAGTCTCATCATTTTGTTCTGGGTGATTTGTAGCCTATCTTTCATTCTCTCTGTTAAGGCAGATGACTATGAAGAGTAAGAGTAATGTATATGGCATTGTATAAGAGCTAGACATAGGGCTTTGTGAGCCTCAGTGAGTAGATAATGTGCCTGGGTGTAGTATGGCCAAGTAGTATGGCTTCCTTTTTCCCGAGGTGTAACGATAATTCATTGTCTACTCACCATTTGCTGCAGGATTCTTGTTTTGGTGATAGTACATTAGCTATAGCTTGTGGGTCTCTACCTGTGACAGTGTTTCGCTATAAAGATTTATCAAGCGAGAGAAAAAAAACTTCGCTCGCAAGTGTTATTTTATTATTGCCAGCACAGGATCCACTTTTAATGGTACCCGCTCTGGGTATAGGCTTTTCAGGGTCGCAGAGATGCGAGAAGTGCGTGAAGCCTTGCACAGTGGTGGGACTCTCCAGCATCGAGCAGTACAGAAAATATCTCCACCATACAGAGACGACCTGCAAAACGCTCGTAAGTCTCTCATTCCTATCCGTGCCTTCTCTGCATGAGGGGGGGGGGATGACTTTTGTAAACTGGGTGGCATCCGTGAACTGGTACACCCTGAAGGTATTAGGTATCCCGGAACTGGAGGAGGGGGGGGGGAGATGTTGAAGGCCTTTAAGCGGTTAGAATTTTTTTCCCTTCAGTGTTTCTTTTTTTTTTTATTTCGCTCATAACGTGAGAAGGTGTCGTCCGATCGGCTTGCAATTTTCAACACTAGTTATATACCGCTGGTTAAAGGTACTTGTCGACAGGCACTTGTTTGGCATGTACGTAAAGAGGTGTGTATAGGTGTAATGTATACACATGGTGTGTATGTATGTAGGTCTGTTATTATGTAGGCCTGCATGTGTGCATATATGTACGTAGAAATGTGCCCAATTATATTATTTGCATGTAGGTTTGCACGTGTATGAATGTGTATAGCCCTTGTGTATCAACTCTTATGTGTATGGATATGTATGCGTCAAGTAACGCCATCATATCCGATTATGGTTGTCTTATTTAGGAGGTGCTATTAAAAAGTTCCTGGGCTGCCGGAAAATAAAAATATATATATAGCCTTACCTAGCTGAAGGTGTCCCCCTCGAAGTACTCTCCTTGGGAGTCTATACACTGATCCCAGCGCCTCTGCCACTTCTTGAAACCTTTCTGGAATTCTTTTCTAACGGCGTCATGCGCGACCTGTGATTCTATTTGCATCTCCTCCACGTCGTTAAAAGACCGTCCCTTGACTGCCATTTTTATTTTTGAGAAAAGAAAGAAGTCACATGGACTACATCTAGGAAGTAGGTAGAGCGGGGGACGACTGCCATGTTTTTGGTTAGAAAACAAAGGTCTTGAGGCAGCATGTGGGGTGCGAATTTCGCAGCCACTCGTCTTATGTTCAAATTTTCAATTATTTCTTTGACACGATCCATAAAGAACTTCCACAGCACTTGCAATGTTCTGGATAATCTGACAATGGTTTTCACGAATAGACTTCTTCACTTTTTCAGTGTTGGCGTCTGTTTTTGATGGACAACCTGAGCGTTCATCATCTTAAACTGACGTTCGTCCTGCTATGAATCAACATCACTCAAAACATTGTCCGCCCCATTGCTTCGTTGCTAAAGGTTGCTGAAGCATTTTTTTTTACTAGCCAATCGAGTTTAAAAACCTAATTTCCACACGCTGTTTTTTAAAAGATTCCTTTTGTTACTAAAAAAATCAAAAAAACGCACGGACAACGGGGGCCCAAAACAATCCCTGTTGACCTCAAACAAAGTCGGCGCACAAAAAATCGCCACCAACTTCACAAAAAAGGACAGCGCAATATGATTTCGCCCCCGCCGTATTTCACACAAAAGCGCAAAAAAATTCGAGTCAGGAATTTTTTTGATACATCACAAAAGGGTATAATTTGGTCGATACCTGGTGAAAAAGAAACGAAAGTAATACTGGGAAGGGGTTTGCCTTCTCACCTTATTATCCCTTTAATTTTACACTTCATTTTCCACCCCTTTTCCGGAGACGTTTTTCTTTAAATTTCTTAGTTTCACTCTTTCTTTACTCACAAACCCAATATTGTCGTTTTTCTTACACAAATAAAAAAACTCCACATGTAGTTTTTATTATCCCCGTTAGTTTAAAAGATTTTTTAACTTGCCATATACGTGTATTTTCCCAAAAGGACACCTACAGTATTTGCCATTCCCCGGGGGTAAATTTTTCCCTTTTGTGTATGGCAACTAGGGCAAGTCCCCTTTGCCAAAAGGGTGTGGGACCTAAACCCCGCTCCTGAAAGACTTTCCCCTAACTTTCCTAAAGAAGCAATTTGCTTCAAGCGTTAAAAAAAAATGCGTGCAATTTTGACAAAGGCCCGGGTAATATTCAAGGTTAGGCGACCACAGTTTTTCTTGTAAAAAGGTTTAAAAAAACAGGAAATTAGTGTCTACCCTTTTTTGGGGTTTCAGAGTTGATGGGGTAAAAATATTTATGGGGCAGGGGTAATACCAAAAGGTTGGGTTTATGTGCGAGTTAAATTGTCGATATGCTAAATTTGTTAAAAAGCTTTTAATAATTTGAATCTGTGCGGTAACTAAGAATTCCTTTTTTAACCGGCTTCAACTTTTAGTGCGTCGTTTTTTCTGTAACGCATGCTTTCCCCTTATTATTGGGCTGCCCAAGTCCCACTTTGTCTATACTAATTACATTTTGAAATTCATTTCCATTCTGTAAATAAAAATATTTTGATCGGCTTCAAATCATCGACACTGATGCATTTCATGAAGTGAATTATACCTTATAACTTTAAATTTTGTAGATATATGTACAACACTAGATATCTTTCTTGAGAAAACGTTTCTTGATGAATGGTTTGAAAAACCGACAAGTTGAAGATTGAGACACTTATGCAACATATGGGAATCTTTATTCAGGAAACGTTTCGCTACACAGTGGCTTCATCAGTCCGATACAAAGTAAAAAGGCGTAAGGAGAGGAGGAGTTTGAGGTAATCAGTCCCTCAGCCTGGAGTTGATGTGTTCAGTCCATCAATCTTGTAGAATGTACAGCATAGGGCCGTAGACGTGGCTTATATACTGTAGTGAGGTGAGGTGAAGCAGGCGGAGGCAGGGTCATAGTGGTACCATCCACTAGTCGAAGTAGGTCTTCGTCCAAAGGTTGAACAAGTGTTGAAGAATTCTTTGTAACAAGATCCCATGATGCTGCAGTGTCAGACAGTTGTGATGAATGGTTTGAAAAACCGACAAGTTGAAGATTGAGACACTTATGCAACATATGGGAATCTTTATTCAGGAAACGTTTCGCCACACAGTGGCTTCATATATAAGCCCTATGCTGTACATTCTACAAGATTGATGGACTGAACACATCGACTCCAGGCTGAGGGACTGATTACCTCAAACTCCTCCTCTCCTTACGCCTTTCTACTTTGTATCGGACTGATGAAGCTACTGTGTGGCGAAACGTTTCCTGAATAAAGATTCCCAATGTTGCATAAGTGTCTCAATCTTCAACTTGTCGGTTTTTCAAACCATTCATCACAACTGTCTGACACTGCAGCATCATGGGATCTTGTTACAAAGAATTCTTCAACACTTGTCCAAACCTTTGGACGAAGACCTATTTCGAGTGGATGGTACCACTATGACCTCACCATCTCTTGCTTCGCCTCACCTCATACAGTATATAAGCCACGTCTGCGGCCTACTGTACATTCTACAAGATTGATGGGACGAACACATCGACTCCAGGCTGAGGGACTGATTACCTCAAACTCCTCCTCTCTTACGCCTTTCTACTTTGTATCGGACTGATGAAGCCACTGTGTGGCGAACGCTTTCCCTGAATAAAGATCCCATATGTTCATAAGGTCTCAATTTTCAATTTTGTCCGGTTTTTCAAACCATTCATCACAACTGTCTGACAATGCAGCATCATGGGTTCTTGTTAAAAAGAATTCTTCACACTTGTCCAACTTTGGACGTAGAACCTACTTCGAACTAGTGGATGGTACCACTATGACCTCACCTCTCCGCTTCGCCTCATCTCACTACATTTATATAAGCCACGTTACAGCCTATGTTTGTACATTCTACAAGACTGATGGACTGAACACTTTCGATTCCAGGCTGAGGGACTGATTACCTCAAACTCCTCCTCTCTTTACGCCTTTCTACTTTGTATCGGACTGATGAAGCCACTGTGTGGCGAAACGTTTCCTGAATAAAGATTCCCATATGTTGCATAAGTGTCTCCAATCTTCAGAAACGTTTCCTGCTCACTGCATCTGACTACAAAAACATGTATGTGTACTCGACTGATGAATCAACTAAGATACCCTGTAACTCGTCATGTATGATTCATCCTCTATGCATACTTGCTGGAAGTCATAAAACTTGTAATAGGGAATAAGAGAATATGCTATTCATTTTTGATATTCGATATTATGTACAGAAAAGGCCATCTTGAGGTGAGAGTGAAAGATGGAATAGGTTTCAAGTAAATTTTGTGAGGGGAAGGAGAACTTTCAGCGTGAGAAAGGGAGTACCAAGGCTTGAGCCAGCCGCCAGGTATTTTAATATGCAAACGATGGCAGATTATAGCAGCGTGTCATGACTGGGCAAGCAGCAAGGATCGAAGAGAGGACGACGCCATTGCTCACGAACGCACGACACTTTCTTCACTGTGAGGGCTAAACAAGACCTAACACACATGCTATAAAAAATTAGTTTTCTTTGAATAAGATCCAGGCCTGTTAATACAGGCCTATGAGGTGCATTTTTTTCAGTTACTTGTAGATGTGGACAGGTAGAGGAGCGTGGAAATAGTAGAAAACGTTGTGGTAGATCGAGGCTTACTAATTACACTTCGTCCTAGTGGTAGCGTCAAGGAAGGGCACGGGGACTGAAGCACCCTTAAGCTCCATTAGCCCCAAAATAATAATAATAATAATAATAATAATTTAGTTTCAAGGCAAGTCCTTTAGCCTCCCAATCCCTTTTCCAACCAATTGCCACCCCTAAGCCCCTCCTAGATAGAAGTTTTCGAGCCGTCCATGAGTGGTGAGTTTCAAGTTTGTCCGTTCGTTTGTCACCAAATATTTTACACAAGACGCCATGAGGTGGGATATTTGCCCAAACTTAGTGATTCATTTGTGATACGGTCCGGTTATCTAGTGCTAGCCTCCAGCGCAAGGCCTTGTGTTACATTCGATAGAGTTTCGGGAGGTTGGCCTTGGCAGTAAGGGGAAGTGAAGGTGGAGTGTATGTACAGTGTAATAGAAGGGTAGGATGAGGGCTTTATATAGGTGTAGTTTTAAGAACTTAAGAACATAAGAATATAATAAAGAAGGAACACTGCAACAGGCCTACTGACCCATGCGGTGCAGGTCCATGTCCCCCTCCCCGGATTAACCCAATGACCCACACTCCCCGGATTAGCCCAGTGACCCACCCAGTCTGGTC